CAGGGAAGTGCTCCGCTCCCTGGCATGACGGCCAGGGAGTGGAGCAGTTCCCTGGAGCCGACGGAGCCCGCGCCAGCCCCCCACCCCAGCCTCCGTCCCTGCCTTGCCTCACCTCGGGAAGGAGCCGCTGCCTGCCCCAAGTGAAGCTCCACTGGCTCCGGGACACTGCTCCGCTCCCCAGCATGGCCTCGGGGGGTGTGTCCCGCAGTGTCCTGGAGCTGGTGGAGCCTCACTTGGGGCAGGCAGCGGCTCCTTCCCCCGGGGAGGGAAGGCCCGGGTGGGGGGGGCTGGGGTGGGGGGCTGGTGCGGGCTCCGTCAGCTCCGGGGAAGTGCTCCACTCCCCAGCACTGATGCCGGGGAACGGAGCACTTCCCCAGAGCTGGCGGAGCCCACGCCAGGCTCCCATCCCAGCCTCTTCTGGTGCGCGGCCTTGAAAAGGCTCTGCACAGCCACATTTTTAGTTGTGCACTGCCGCACACGCGCACACCTTAGAGGGAACCTTGCAGCCAAGGCTGGGGACTTTGACAGGGATTTGCCAATGCTCCTGCTGGGAGCAAAGCCAGAGGTTCCTAGCTAGGGAGGTCTTCCCCCTCCATTCAGGGTCAGACTAAATCACTGTACTTGGGATTAGTATGAACTGTGGGGATTTTTGCCTTCCTCCAAAGTGGGGGGCATAGCCCTCTACCTGGGACATCCTGAGTGTATATATAACATTTCATAGAAGCAGGACAGTGGCTGCAATGCTTCAACTGCTTTGTGTGTGGCAGGTTAGAGTGCTAGGTCTATGTTGTGTCAGGGCTGACAGCAGCTTTATATAGAGTTTAGATGATGGCTTGGATGGGATGGGATGGAAAACCATGATCCTGCCTCAGGCAGGGCAGTTGAAGTAGATGACCTCTGGAGGTCCCTTCCAGCCCTACTTCTCCATGACTATGACTTGCATGACTATACTTACCCATGTTGAAACCAGAACACCTGGGTAAGATTTTACTAGTGTTCAAGGGAGTTCACTTACATATGCAAAAACATATAAGAAAAATACACAATATAGTGACATGCTCTTAATATGACTTCAAAGAGACTGAATGGATTTGACTTCATAAGTTAGCCAATACAGTAGCTTCCCCCTTACAAACAGCATAAACAGTGAAAGTATGTACTTACAATAAAGTGGTTACTGATGTTTTCCTTGTCTTGCTGTCCTTCAGGGTGTGAAGTTGCTTGTTGCCACCTTTATTTCTCTGATGATGCTATCTTTTAGAGGGCCTGCTTGTCTTTCAGCAGCTTGTCACAGAACACAGTACAATCCAGATCAAAATTAACTCACATAGCCTTCATGGTGGAGACATGCAGATGTGATTTTTCAGACCACACATTGTTCATTCTAGAAAACACACATTGAACGGGGGGCAGTTGTGCCCAGGAAACGCAACACAAATTCCACAGCCTTAGCTAGATCTGCATATTGTACTATCTTGCATCTCTTGAAAAATGCACAGCCACCTTTCAGCAATGGGAATTCACTTATGGTTGCAGTCAGAAAGATGATGAGATGATTGATTTTGCATTGGCTCACTTAAAAGGGCAATTCTCATCCAACATACTTAAGGTAGGAATTCTAGTGTGGCATGTAGCGAAGCTGTCTTATATTTCATCCCACACTGGCATATTGCTTGACAGGGCCCACTCAAGCTTTTTGGCGTGCTCAAAAGCAGGTTTCCAGTACTCCAAGTAAGACAGGCATTGTAAAATTGTGCATTGTAAAATTCTTCTTCCTTCATTTGCTGACAATCTACAAGAGACTGCAGTAGGTTCTTTGCTTTTGTTGGGACAAATTGTTGTCTAAGCCTCTCTGCTAAATTATCCCACAGGGAATGTATCTGCAGAGCAACTTCTGTCACTAACACATCATTTTTCTTAATTGCCTCTACGTTCTTCTGAAACATGGCTGTTTGTTTACTGGCAAAGGCAAGCTACAATTTAGTGCTAGGGTCATTGAAGACTTCTTTTAACAGTGTCAGGCATTTCTCTTGAGAAAGGAAACATGCTTTAAGCCCACTGAAAATCAACAAAATTCTATCCAGCACTGGTCCCAGTGACAAGATGTGTGCGCTGCTATGCTGTAGTCATTTAAAATACTCAAGACTGACAAATTGGCAGAAGTCTTTCAGCTCTTCAACTCTTAGTTTGGCTTGGAGTTTTTGCCACAAATTGTTTTTTCCAGGATGTCTGGCACCACCAAAGTTAGTGTTGCACAAATTCCAACGAGCTTTGCACTAAGACAGTACTTCTCAATCACTTGCTAGAGAAATGCACACTGCACATCAGATGTTTCACCCAGCAGAAAAAAAAACTCAATTATTATTTTTGTGTTGACTCCCCTAATTGGAAGAAAAAAGCATACAAGAACAGGAAACAGCTTTTGCTCCTTTTTAGTTCGATGCATCCACATTAAGCATAATAAATGAGCACTTCTCCAAATCACGATGCACTTCTTCTGTTGATAAAAGAGCTAATACATTGCAAATTATTGCCCTGGATTTTGTGCGAGCAGATGAAAACTTAGGTTGGTAGAGTTTCTTAATGTGATGTAGTCACTTGACCCAAAAAGGTGTCCATGACGCAGAGTGGTAAGCAAACAGTCCCTCACTGGCAAAAATGTGACTAACAAAAAGCCAATCAAATTTTTTGTTTTGCTTAACAAAAATAAAAAAAATCTGAAATGCTTGGAGTTGCACACTTAGTACTTTTGGCCTCTGTTTTTTTGTTTGAAGGTGCTGAGTAATGTCACAGCGGCTGCCACAAGTCTTGCAATTAAAGAATTTTTTTTGAAAAAATCTTGTTGGTCTAATAAAATGTATCACCTCTACCATGAGCCCAGATTGCTTTCTCCACAAGTCTGTCATACAACTTGGCTGATTTTGTAGGTCCTCCTTACAGGAACAGGCATGTTTGTGACATTTTATAGCAAACACTACTGATAACTTCTGTAACCTCATGTGTTGCAGCTGACCATGCATCGTATGTGCACCTCATGTGGGTAGGTAGATCCCAGAGCCACCGCCGTGCGCTGCCACCACCTATTGTAAATCAAACCAAGTTGTAAAATGTTGGGATGTTATTGTGAAATGGAGAGAAGGAAAAAAATGCAATTACATTTCTTTTATATGTAATGCCATATGAAAAATGCTTTATTGAATATGCAATACATCAGCTGGCAAAAGAAAATGGGACAAATAGCCAATTAAAAAAAAGTGGGGACACCTGGGATAGGGCTCAAATAGGGGACTGTCCTGGCAAAAACGGGATGTACGATTACCTCGACCAGGGCTCTTCCTGCCAGCTTCAAGTTGTGGTCCCTTCTTCTTGTCTTGTGAGAGCCAATAGTGACTCCCCACTGATTTTCTCTTCGCCATGTAGTTTTGTGAACCCTTCCCAAGCCCCCCACTAGCTGCTGGGATCTTCCCTCTGCCCGGGCCCTGCTAGCCTTCAGGGGGGAGCCTCTTCCCCTGCTTCCCTGCTGCAGCCCTGGGGCCTAAGGGCAGGCACCCCAGGACTGCATGCATGTAACAGTGCAGTTCCTCCACAGCTGGGGTTGCCAACCCTCCCGGATTGGGCAGGACCCTGCGGGAATCAGCCGGGTGACTACTGAAAGCAATCCAGGAGATTGATATTGTGAACAGGTTGAACAGTACAATGAACGACATTACATCAGGTTGGGAAAAAAAGAAAACCTCCCGGAATATCTTGAGTCAGAGCTGGCCACCCTACCCGCAGCCCGGCCAGCGGGTCAAAGGGCCACGGGGTGAGCCCCTACTAGGCTCAATACGGCCGGGCGCTACATTGCCCGGCGCCCTCGTGGAACGCCAAGTCGCCGCCGCGTTGACGCGATCAGGCGCGTCACCAGTCGCGCGCGCCAGCCCAGCCGCGCTCAGCCCCCGGCAGACATGTCTACCGAGACGCCCCGCACCGCGCACTTCCGCCTCTCTAGGTGTCATGGCGGCCGCGCCGCCCGCCTCCC